GATGGCTTCTCTCCACCAGCATCATGCGTATATACGTATCAACCCGAAACGCATAAGTCAACGAATATACGCATAAAGAATCCAGAAAAGGCGATCGACCGACCCTGGACGGATCGGTCGATCGGGTCATCCCATTGAATAACGGAATGAGGGCTGGGCTTAGGACTGAGCCTGCAGCTCGGCGGCCTTCGCTTCAACCGCCTTCCAAACCCGAATGACGTTGCCGCTCAGGATCTTCTCGATGTCCTCATCTGAATATCCTTTGACCAACAGCGCTTCGATCAAATTCGGGAATTCGGAAACGTCCTTGAGCCCCTCGGGCAAGGAGTCGCCGACACCGTCGTAGTCGGAGCCGAGACCGACATGGTCGATACCCACGAGCTTCACCACGTGATCAATGTGGGCGACTACGTCGTCCAGGGTGGCGTAGGGGAAAGGATTCTGCTCGCGGTAGGACTCGATGTAGGCGTTCAGCTCCTCACTACCTCGCTCGAGACCGTTCTCCACCGCGTATTCTCGGATGTGCCCCCAGAACGAGGTGGAATACTCGCGAGCTTCCGGCGTCAGGAAACCGGAGCCGAAGTTGATTTGGATGACACCGCCGTTTTCCGCCAGCTTACGGATCATCTCATCGTCCATATTGCGCTCGAATCCCGGCGTGAAATGGCGGCAAGAGGAATGGGAGGCGATGGCCGGAGCTTGGCTCAGCTCCATCACCTGGTAGAAAGCGTCGTCGGAAACGTGAGAGATGTCGATCATGATGCCGAGCCGGTTCATTTCGGCCACCACCTCTTTGCCGAAGGGCGATAGGCCGTTCCACTTCCGATTGTCCGGCTCCTCATACGAAGAATCACAGATCTGGTTGTTCTTAGAGTGGGTCAGGGTGATGTAACGCACACCCCGATTGAAGAAATGCTCGAGATTGGCCAGGTCGTCTTCGACCGCGGCACCATTCTCGATGCCCAATGGCAGGGCGACCTTGCCGGCTGCCTTGGCCGCCAGCACCTCATCGATGCTGCTGACCACGTCGAATTTATCCGGGTGATCGGTCTCGAATTTCTCCACCATGTCGATCAACGAGTCGGCGAAATCCTTGGCACCGCCGGTTTCCTGATACTCGGCGGGAATGTAGATCGACATGAACGGTGCGTCGAGACCACCCTCGCGCGCCCGGACGAAGTCGAAGTCGCCCTTCTCGGTGCGCTGG